AAAAAAATCATATTGCATATAAAAAACATTATCTTTTATGGATACCAAAATCTACAATCTCAGACTTTCCGCCTCCGAGGAGCCGTGCTCCGCCTTCCACATCTGAATATATGCGGATTCTTGTATTGTTCTATCGGGTGTTAACTTTAATTCCTCCTCAGATGCATGATGCGTTCCCATTACTGCGGGTGAGGGAGCCGTACTTTTTGAATTTCCTGACCGTTGTGCAAGAGAGAAAATAAAATCCAAACAGTAAGGCTGCATTAGCAGCGGCATGGGCTTTATGCCTCCAATTTCCCTGTTTTATTTTCCTTTACAAGGAAAGGAGGAGGGGTGGAATAAAATGGGAAATCCAGAAGGAATAATAGATGCAAACAGACGTGCCTGTAAGACCACAATTGTGCCTGGCTTAAACCATTTGCAAATGGACGTGCTTTCGAATTTGAATGCGCTCTTCAAGGGCACGAGCCCTTCAAAAGGAATGAAGTAAGATTAAGTGTGTGTGTTTGAGAGTGTTACACACACACACACACACACACAAGGAATAAGGCTCATTGTGGAAATACATGCAACGAGCTCTAGAAAGAGGCTCTGGGTGGGTGCCCTGGTCTTTGGCACTCAGCGTCAATTTGCTGTGGTGATCTCAGCAGGGTATAATGACACAGAACTTACAATTTTCTTCAGGGAAACTGATCTCTGCCATCTGAAGAGCAGCTGTAAATCTGAGTGACCTCTAGCCCTCCCCTGGAGATTGGCAATTGTGGTTCACCAGGAGGAAATGGCTGGTTTGGAGGGTGGAGTCTATGGGATTGTACCTGTCTGAGGTCCCACCCCTCCTCAAACCACACCCTCTCCAGGCTCCACCCCTCAAATATCCAGGAATTTTCCAGCCTGGAGTTGGCAACCCTATCTCCTTTCCAGCCAACCATCAATCTACCTTTATGTGCCCCTCTGACTTCAGCTTTCCATCTTCCCCTCCCTCACTCCTGGTGATCAGCTGTAATTCTAAGATATCTCCAGCCCCCACCTGGAGATTGGCAACAATGGTTCCCCAGGAGGAAATGGCTTGTTTGGAGGGTGAAGTTTATTGCATTGTACCTGTCTGAGGTCCGACCCCTTCAAAATCCCACCCTCTCCAGGCTCCACCCCTCAAATTTCCAGGAATTTCCCAGCCTGGAATTGGCAACCCTATCTCCTTCCCAGCCAACCATCAACCTACCTTTATCTGCTCCTTTGACTTCAGTTTTCCATCTCCTCCCCTCTCCCTCCTGGAGAGCAGTTGTAATTCTGAGTGATCTCCAGCCCTCACATAGAGATTGGAAACAATGGTTCCCCAAGAGGAAATGGCTGGTTTGGAGGGTGGAGTCTATGGCATTGTACCTGTCTGAGGTCCCACCCCTCTTCAAACCTCATCCTGTCCACTCTCCACCCCTCAAATCTCCAGGAATTTCCATACCTAAAGCTGGCAACTTTATCTCCTCCCCTCTCAGCAGCCTCTTCCTAGGCAAAGTCCTGTCTTTCTCATTAGTGGGTAGCAAAGCAGCTTACTTCATTCTCCTCTTCCGCTTTGTGATCTGTACAGAAACCCTGCAAGGTAGGTTAGGCAGAAAGTCTGTGGCTGGTCCAAAATTACCCAGGCAGCTTCCATAGGGAGGCTCCTGGTGAACAGGAGCAAGCAACCAGGGCTACTGAAGTAATGCCAGTCAGGAGGCATGAAGTCACCTTGAGAGTGCTGGCAGGCCTAGAGTTGCCAACAAAGACAGATTGATGCAAAGGAGGATGGGAAAGCCTCCATATCTCTATTTTGCCTTAAATTGGTTTTGATGCCTGCAGAGTAAGAAAATGCCAGATGGGTGCCCCATGGTAAATGGACAATTACTAAAGATTTTCCAAAACACTACTCTGTCCACATTCATTTTCTATACTCACAGCGTCCCCTGCCTAAACGCAACACATCCCCAGCACTTTGAATTAGCACCAGAACTTTAAGAGCTCTCCTGCTGTCACTTGGAGATTGGCAACAGCTTCTTTGGAGGGTGGGGTCTATGGCATTGTCTCTCTCTGAGGTCCCCCCCTTCCTCCTTCTCAGACCCCACCCTCAGCAGGCTTCATCCCTAAAATATCCTGGAAGTTTCCAACTGTGAATGGTCCATAATCCCCCAGGCAGCTTTTAAAACATGAACCTGGGATCTGCACACCATCCTCTGAAGCACTCTCAGGTACATATCTGTGGCTGTAATGGGGTGACTGCTGGCACCTTTTCCTATAATTTTTTGTCTTGTGGTATTCTGCTTGTGGTGTGGTATGGTTGTGTTATTGGGTTTGTTTCTTTTGAAGGGGAAGTGATGTATTGTGGGTGAGGACATATTTTACCTCAGAAAACACAAGGTTGCATATGCAAATGGAGGGGGGGAGTTTGAGGTGCGAAATGGAGTGAGGTTCAATCAGCTTCCATATGCAAAAGACCTTGAAACGCTGGCCCAATCAAAGAAGAGTGGCCTAGGCTGCAGTGGGTGGGAGAGAACTCAGGCAACACAGCCAGTGGATAGAGACACCTTGTGATTGACGTATCACAGAGCCAACTGATTTTGGCGGGCATAGAATGTTGTCATGCGAGAATGCTTTTATATATAAGGACAGGATATCTGAAACAGTTTGGGACAATGATTCTATTTTCTCAGCTTTCTTTGGAATGCTTCCAAATTTTTCCCTGATAGGAATTGTTCCCAGAATGCACACATACAATGCCTTTTGTATCATGCCAAACACTGGCTAAGTTTAGACACTATGCAAGCCCATGGCTAACTTAAATTAACCGTGGTTAGTGTAGGACAGGGGTGTCAAACATGTGGTCCGGGGGCCAGATCAGGCCCCCGAAGGGCTTCTGTCAGGCCCACAGTGGAACTGGCTGTCTTCTGCTTCTTCTTCCAGTTCTGCTGCTACTGCGTCATTGTAGGTTTGCAGCTTACAGATACACACCTGAACAACATACTCAAGACTGCAACAGCACAGACATTGTGATGCAATGATTCAGAGCAAGAGGAGTCAGTTATCAGACACTGTTAAATAAATAAAATATTGCAAGAGGGCTCATGTTTTGAGCATGTTTTTATTTTAAGTAAAAAAAAACCCTTTGTGTTTGTGTCATTTATAAAGTTTATATCTCCGATACCTGGCATTACCTTTTATGACACACATAGCCCAGCCCAACAAGGTCTCATTTACGTCAGATCCGGCCCTCACAACAAATGAGTTTGACACCCCTGGTGTAGGGTATCCAAATGCAGGCCGCTCCACCAACTGCAGTTTATTAGGATCCTTCAAGCCAGAATATAAAATAATGGTTTGGAGCTGGTTTATTATTCAGCTCTGAAGAAGGGAGCCATGACTCACGAAAGCTCATCCCCTGCCACAATTTCGTGTTCACCTTTGACCATTCCTGCAGTAATAAAATTCCCCGCGTTATGTGAAATTTCCCACAGCCAATCTTTTCTCGTCAGGCGCAAAGCCAACGTTTTCTCCTCCTTACCCTGTGTTTTTGGAACTTGCTAAAACTGGGGATTCCGAAAACACAGGGTAAGGAGGAGAAAATTTCGGCTTTGCGCCTGACGAGGAAAGATCTACTGCGGGAAATTTCACACAACACACCATTTTTTAAAAAAAATGTCAGTGTGGGGAATTCAGTACTACGGAAATGATCTTTAAGGTGCTCTTGGACTTTTCTGCTCTTTTCAACTGCCACCAGGGGTCATTTCCTGCAGGAGCGCACAGGAGCGGAGCTCCGGCAGTAAAGAGCCCAGGGGGCGGGCACATGCGACAAGCCCCACCCCCTGCTCCCAGCAGCCCTCAGTCAGAGCAAGAAGCAGCCAGGTAAGCTGCAGAGCCCCCCCGGCCCCCCGGTCCAAAACAGTCCAGTGGCACCTTTAAGACCAAGTTTGATTCAGGTACAAGCTCTCCCTCCTCTGCGAGGGCAGATCTGCATGTTCCCCTCCCCCTCCAATAGCTAGCAATCCAAAACAGTCCAGTGGAGCCTGAGCGGTGGGTGTTGCCTTCCGACACCTTTCCGGTGATGTCAGGGGGTGTGGCATATGCAAATAAGTTATGCTAATGAGTTATGCTAATGAACTCCTGCACCTCTTTTTCTACAAAACGACCCCTGACTGCTACAGACAGACTAAAAAGGCGACCCATCTTGATCTATCTGAAGAAGTGAGCGGCGACTCGCAAAAGTTCCGCCCCTGCCACAAATGTTGTTAGTCTTCAAGATGCTGCTGGACCCAGGCTCTCCTCTACTGCGACAGACAGACTGACACAGCGACTCGTATTATACTAACCACAATGAGCCTTAACTATGGTGTGACGTGAGATAAGAACACAGAAACCTTGGGTTAATCCTCACATGTTCCCCAGTGCTTGCTATCATGTATTCCCTGGTTGCAGAAGAAGAAGAGGAGGAGGAGGAGATTGGATTCATCCCCCGCCCTTCACTACCCAAGGGAGTCTCAGAGCAGCTTACAAACTCCTTTCCCTTCCTCCTCCCCACAACAGACACCCTGTGAGGTAGGTGGGGCTGAGAGAGCTCTGACAGAAACTGCTCTTTTTCAAGAACGGCTGTGCCAGAACTATGACTTGCCCAAGGTCATCCAGCAGGTGCAAGTGGAGGAGCAGGGAATCAACCCCGGTTCTCCCAGATTAGAGTCCGCACACTTAACCACTACACCAAACTGGCTCTCATGTATTCCCTGGTTGCAGAGAAGTCAGCATGAAAATAATGGAAACAGCATTAATTAAGGCAAGCCGAGATCTGAGTGATGCTCTGTGAACCAAACCCTGGATTCAAAAACTACCCACAATTCAAAGAAACTATAGCTTTCTGCTCTGCCTGGAGTGTGCCGCTGTTAACGGGAATCAAGAATCGAGATGGAAAACAGAAACTGACGTATCAGTTAGCAGTTTATGCTACCCCCAAAAAGCGAATAAAGTTTAAACCCCATACTTACGGCCTTCCTAGGTCTTTGGCCCATAGGAAGTAAAGCTTTGGACTTCTCTGCAATTTTCTGCCAACACAAAAAGGGTAAATTGCATTAGTGGCCGTCATACAATAGGAATACATTAGAACTTTATGGGGATTTTTGTTAAAAAAGAAGTGGAAAAATAAGCTAACCCTATGGTTCCGGGCACGGGAGAAAAGCTGCTCTGGAAAAGGGTAGGCCTCTGAGAAATCAAAAGTCACGTCAGCGTCAAGGACAACAGGGTTATCAAAAGCGAAACCTTGCATTCAAAAAGTGACAGCTGCAACTGTGGAAGTAGCAATTTGCCACTCAAAAGCAGATCCCTGACGCAACCGGGCCATTCAGGGGAGGGGGAAATGCAATGGATAATTTGGGCACATGGCAATTTATTAAAAATAAATTGCATAGGTGGCGAGTCACGTGCAAAACTTCATATGGAACATGGATTGAACTACAGAAACAGCGATGTCAGGGATGGCGACCTCTCCGTATCCATGGGTCCGGTGCATGCTGAGAACAGTATTAAATACAAAGTAATTGGCTGCATCAAACAGATCCACTTTGCGAATGACGGCATGTTCCTCTGACACAATTCCATGTTGAGTTTCCAACCTTCAAGAAGGAGGAGGAGGAGGAGATTGGATTTATACCCCACCCTTCACTCGGAGTTTCAGAGCGGCTTACAAACTCATCCCCCTTTCCACAACAGACACCCTGTGAGGCAGGTGGGGCTGAGAGAGCTCTTTCCAGAACTGTCCTTGAGAGAACAGCTCTGACAGAACTACGGCTTGCCCAAGGTCATCCAGCAGCTGCAAGTGGAGGAGTGGGGAACCAAACCCGGTTCTCCCAGATTAGAATCTCTGCTCATAACCACTAGACCAAACAAGGGGGACCCAGAGATCTTCTGGAGTTACAAGTGATCTCTAGACTGCAAAGATTTTTTCCCTTGGAGAAGATGGCCACTGTGGAGGGTGGACTCTATGGCATTATGCTCAGCTGAGGTCCCCCCTCCCCAAACCTCACCCTCCTCAGGAATTTCCCAACCCAGAGCTGGCAACCCCAACTTCTCGCATCGGCTGATGTATCCTTGTGTCAGAGGAAAGACCTGATGTCCGTTGGCCGGATCTGTGGGCTCCAGCCACTTATAATCACAGAGGAATTTCAAGAGAAAAGCATATAGCTCGATTCCTTAATTTTGCAGGAAGTAAAAACACCACAATCTGAATTGAACCTGGAACCAAAAATGAAGAGAATGCATCTTATGGTGTAAGCTGTGTCCCATGAGGAAGAGGAGTAGAAGAACCTCTGCTTGGCAAGCAGGACCTAAGGTTCAAGTCCCATCCTCTCCAGTTAAAACAACAACAGCAACAACAACAACAACGACGACGACAACAAAAACAACAACAACAACAACAACAACAACAACAACAACAACAACAACAACAGCAACAACAACAATAATAA